TTTCCTTTTTTTTTTTCTAACAGTATATTTTTGTACACTTTCTTATTAAAAAAATGGTGCTGGGGAAGGTGAAGAGTTTGACAATAAGCTTTGACTGTCTCAATGACAGCAATGTCCCCGTCTATTCTAGCGGGGACACAGTCTCAGGAAGGGTCAATTTAGAAGTTACTGGGGAAATCAGAGTAAAATCGCTTAAAATTCATGCAAGAGGACATGCAAAAGTACGTTGGACTGAATCTAGAAATGCTGGATCCAACACTGCCTATACACAGAATTACACTGAAGAAGTAGAATATTTCAACCATAAGGACATCCTCATTGGGCAAGAAAGAGGTAAGTTTTTTTTAAAAAAATCACTATTACGTGCAGATATTTTTTTCTGCAGAGGTCGCATCTTTGCATCGTCTCGGTTTATGTCTTTTTTAGTGTCTAACCTATAAAACGCACTCTTTCTAAAGATGAGGAGACGCAGGCTGCCTTTTGGGGATTTCTCTCCATTATATGGACGCTTGCTGCACGTTAAAACCGTGCTGAGATGCATCTGCAAGTGCCTGCAAACAGGACTTTCTGCAACTGCCTGCCCTTTAACGGAGCTTTTTCATGAGGATTTGCAGTTAATTAATACTGTGTTTTCGAAATGCAGTATTCGTTTTGTCATAGTCTTATTACCAAGATTTGGTTTATGGGGGAAAACGAAAAAATAAAAACCAGGTATGCAGTAAATGACTTTCCTGGTAGCAGCTTCTCGAATCGGGAAACATACTGGAGCATAAAACGAGACCCTTTTTTTGACACATTACAGATAAAGCTCTGCTTTTCAGACCGATCTGTGATGGTTTTTAAAGATGGATCATTTCTGGCAGAGCGAAGATTCCCTGTGGCTTATTTTGACATCTGCTATCACCACCCCACGTGTAATTCCCCCCGGTGCTCCCTTGCTCCCAACTACCAGTAAATTCGTAAATTAGTTTTTAATTTCCCTTCCTGAACCCCTGGGCGGGGGTCCCAGACCCAAAGGGCCGCCTGGCAGGCTGAAGGCTGCGCTGGGAGCATCATTCCCAAGTTGGCGAGTTCTGGAAGCTGCTTTCAATGAAACCCCTCTCCGGAGAAGCCCAAACGCCCCCTTTCCACCCCAGACCGAGGGGTAACGCGCTGTGAGGAGGGGGCGCGGGCCCTCGCTTTGCCCATCTATTGTTCGCAGGGCTACATTGTCAAAAGTGTGGGGGACACCGGGGTTGTTTTTGCGAAGTTTCCACCCTTTGTTAGAAGCGGTTCAATCCTGTTTGGGACCGGTCCTGGCGAGAGGGAGGGGGTGCGCGCCCCGCTCGCCGCAGATTGGCTGCGCGCGTCAGGTGGTGGCGATGACTTAACATTATTTTCTTGTGCTAGGAATTAAAACTGGTTATGTAAGTTCGGTTGCCTTTTTGCCCGCTGATTGGCGGGCGGCGAGGCGCAGAGGGGCAGGTTGCCTTGCCCGCACTCCGGTGTGCGCGGTGGGAGCGGCTGGTGCCGGCCGGAACCGGCAGCTCGCGGAGGGGAGAAGGGGCCGCTCCCGGGGCCGCGCACTCTCGTTACCGCGCTTCACCCGCTGCCCCCCCCCGC